TCCTGAGCCACTGGGATTACAGGCATGCACCACTGCACCTGGCTTCCATTTTTGCTTTCTAAGGGAAACGGTTCATGGACTTTATTTGAGGTCTCAGATAAACCACAAAAGGTACTCTTTTTCCTGGAGACTCCCTTCTGACACCCACAAACCATAGCAGAAAAGCTAGAAGCCTGAGGGGTCAGAGGTGCAGACGGCCCAGGTACCACCTGTCCTCCCTCCCCAACAGCTGGGGAAGTGTGTCCTCTGAAAGTAATATCATGACAGCTGGGCAAGGGCAGGGGTAGAGGACAGGCGTTTTCATAAAAATCCTTCTTGGAGTGTAGTTCAGAGAAACCTTGTTTAGAAGCAGCCCCTGCAGAGCCCCAGGTATAAATCTCCTGGTCCCATTCAGCTCCTGGCCCCTCTTCTCAATATGGGAAAGAAGCTGGGCTGATCACTGGGATCAGAGCTCATGCCTTCCCTGCTTCTCGGGGACTTGCTAATGGTCCTCCTCTCTAACCCTGCCTCCCCTCTACCACCCCAGGCGTCTAAACAAGTTTCTGCATTTTAAAAGATGTTTCTGATTGCAGTTTGCCATAGTAAAATAATTGTTATCAGTTATTGAGGATTTACAATTTGTAGGGCACTCAGCTAACCCCTGAGGTACAGCATCAGCATTTTACAGAAAAGGCAAATTAATGTCCTAGAGGATAAGCAACTTGCCATCTAGGTAGCAAGAGGTGAGAGGGGATTGGAACCCAAGACAGGCACATTCGCACTATGTCATGCAGCCTTCCGTGGCCGGGTTGGGATGATAGGACCCATGGACAGAACTCGATGGGGACTGGTAAAGGATGGGCCACGTGCGGAGGCGCGGTCCCTGACCAGGCCTCTAGGACCCTCAGAAGAAGGGACAATGATGGCTTCCTGGTCAGTAGCTGCGTCTCCTGGCATAAAAACCCCTCCATGCACATCTGGAGCATAGACCCCAGAAAGTGAGGGACACTGAGCTCAGGGCTGGGCGGGAGGCAGTTAGAACTTTCTGGACGCCTCTCCTAGCAGGATGAGCCAAGACCACCAGGGAGGTGTTAATGAAACAGGGAAGCTGTGAACAGACCCAGGAGTTATTCCAATCTGACACCTCTACCCCAGCCCCCATCAGTAATGAGCTGGGACCTGCCCTTCTCCCCAGAGAGGGGTGAGGGAAGAAGTCCATCTCTGTAGATTCAGAAGCACTGACCCCTCCCCCACCCATCACCATCATCTTCATTATTACTACTTGCACTGCAGTAAATAGCTCACATTTATTGAGCACCTACTAATGTGTCCCAGGCACTGCTGATCTTTTTTATAATCCTATTATTAATCCTCACCTATAAACCTTAAACCTCTATGGTAAATAGTATTCTTATCTCCATTTTATGGATGAAGAAACTGAGGCTCCATTAGGTTAAGTGACTCTCGACTAAAGCAGAACAGACACTGGGACCCGGGACTGACTCAGAAGTCTGTGTTCTTTGTGCTTTTGGTAAAGCCCCTGACACACGCCCACACGGACCCCACACGGAAGGCACATCTGTGTGGCTCCATAGCTGGAGCTGGAGTGGTGGGGAAAGGCAGCATGTCCACTGTGTGTCCCCCGTCTGTGCTCTCAAGTTTCTTTTCCACATGTGTGCAGTGAGAACTGGGGTGGGGCGGGGGACTCCAGTTCTGCCCACTTCCGGGGAAGCAAAGAGAGAAGGGTTTTGACTGGGGAGGGCTGAGGAAGAGGGCAGGGGCTGCTGGGCAGATGCATGCCTCCCAGCTGCAGGAAGGAGCCAGGCCTCTCTACGAGTGGAGCGCCATGTTTGTAAACATCATTAATCAGGGATTAGCAGATGGGCGTGCTAATTGCACCTGTGCAAGTGAGAGACCTCAAGGTTGATTACATTTACAAACTGTGGGGCTCCCTGGCGCCTGACCCTGCGGGAATGATGTGTGTGTGAGAGGGTCTAGTTTAGCCTTCTGGCAAAAGATCCCAGCTCTGGAGGGGGCTCAAGGTGCTGGCCCCTCTTCAGCTGCTCTGAGGATACCAGAGGCTCTTCTCTTGGGGGTGGGGAAGTGATGGTGCATTTTGGCTGAAATGGGCCCCACCGCCTGGAAGAAAAGCACAGCTGCTCCCTGACCTCAGAGTCTGCATTTAGGTGTCCCAAGGAAAAGCTGCCATCCTCCTCCAGGCTTGGGGTGGAGGGCTTTCTGTAATGACCTCTTTGAATCCAGACCAATTTGAAGTGGATACTGTTGTGATCTCCATTTTTGTAGATGATGAAAACAAAGGCTGCCAACTGAGGGGACTGTCCACATGTCCATGACTGCGAGTCAGAGCTGGAACTCCAACAAAGCCCTGTTGAACAGCCATTGCCCTGCTCTGAACCAACGCTGTTCTCTCTGATTTTATCTCAGCCAACTTCTAGGTTCCGTGTGGGGCTTGGTCAAGAGAGCAGAGCGGACTTTGTACCCCACAGGGAGGGAGCACTGGGATATCTGTGTTCTTTTTTGTCACGTGTATGGCAGGGTTCTGCAGAGAAACCAACAGGGTGCATGTGTACCTGTGTTTAAAGAGATTATATGGAACTGGCTCATGCAATTATGGAGGAGGGCAAGTCCCAAGATCTGCAGGGTGAGTCAGCCAGCTGGAAACCCAAGAGGTCGATGGCATAGCTCCCATCCAAAGGTCAGTAGGCTGAAAAATCAGGAGGAGTTTTTCCCCCTGAGTCTGAAGGCAGGAATTCTTTTGCCTGGGGAATGGTCAGCCTTTTGTTTTATTCAGGCTCTCAACTGACTAGATGTGGCCCACCACATTAGAGAGGGTAGTCTGCTTTACACTGCTGATTCAAATCTTAATTTCTTCCACAAACACCCTCATAGAAACACCCAGAATAATGTTTGACCCAAACCTGGGTAACCCATGCTCCAGTCGAATTGACACAAAATCAACCATCACATCAGAGTTTGTACTAATGTGTTAGTCCTGGGTTAGTCCTGGGGTGCCCAGTCCTTTAGCTTACAGATCATCTTTGTCCCCCCTGGTGCTGGGATCAAACCCAGGGCCTAGCACACTCTAGTCAAGCGCTCTACACCCCAGAACAATAGGACATTTTTACTGATAACTTTTATTTCTAATTTCCCTCCTGGGAAAGGGGTAGAGAGAGCTGGTCGGAATGGCACCATCCCTAATCTACAGATGAGGAGTCTGGGAAGCTAAGTAGTATGTCATGGAGCCGAGACCGGAAAGCACATCTTCCAAAGACCCTAAGGGACAGATGAAGCATCATCCTGGCCCAAACTTTCAAGCATGAGCTCAAAGACACAGGCGTGAACATGGAGCATTGCTTGGACATGAAGCGTGGTGCAAAGCGCAAGGGAGTCTCAGACCCCAGTGGTACACTATCAACTGGGAGCTTTAAGAAATACTGAAACCTGGTTCCTTCCCCAGAGATTGTTTCTTAGGGGCTGGTCCTTCTGGGTATTTAGAATGCTAAGAGTTCTCTCTCTCTCTGGCCCCATGGCTGCAAGTTTCCACCAAAGTTAAAAAATTTTAAATAAGTAAAAATAGTAACTTAAAAAGTTAAAAATCACTACACCTGGCTCTTGGTCAAGGGTGCAGGGGTGGCAGAGGCATCCTAGTATCTGCTGCGCTCAAGCTCAGCAGAGGTCAGAACCTGTGTGGCAGTTAGAATCAGAAAGTTCCAGAGGGGACAGATGCTAGTAGGGAAGAGTCGAGCTTATGAAGGGGCTTTGTCCTCTTTCTTGAGATGAAAAACTATGGGCTGGGGATGTGGCTCAAGCAGTGATGTGCTTGCCTGGCATGCATGGGGCGCTGGGTTCAATCCTCAGCACCCCATAAAGATATTGTGTCCATTGAAAAATAAATATTAAAAAAATTCTCTCTCTCTCTTCTCTCTCCTCTCAAAAAAAAATTAAAAAAGAAAAACTATGACTTTAAAATGATCTTGGGAACTTTTTAAGGAAATTCACATCTTGTTCTAAATTGGCATTGCCCTCACAATTGCAAGCTAAATCCACAGCAGATGGGAGTCCAGAAGAAAAAGATGGAACTATTTATTGAGCATCTACTACATATGAAATACTGAATTCCTGTTGCTCTCCATATCCTCTCAGGAATCCAGCAAGTAGTATTATTTCCATCATGGAGGAGTTGACTGTTGCTCAGGTGTGTAGGGAACTTGCCTCAAATCACAGTGACCAGGATTACAACTTAGGGATTGCTGCTCTGCCAACCTGTGCTCCAGTGCAGTGGTTCTCAACCAGAGATGATGTGGAGATGTTGAGACAGCTCCGTTTTCATAACAGGGGACAGGAGGGCAGTGCTACTGGAGGGCAGTGCTACTGGTGTCTAGTGCCTAGAAGCCAGGAATGCTGCTAAATGTCCTATAATGCTCGGGACAGTTCTCACGGCAAAGAATTAATTATCTGGTCCCAAGTGGCAGTAGTGCCAAGGTTGAGAGGCACTGCTCTGGTGGCCCTTAGCCATGGCTGCAAGTTAGACCCATCTAGGGGCAGGGGGACAGTTTAGAAAGCCTGATGATCAGGATGCAACTAGACCTCTGAACGGGTACTCTGGCAGCAGTGTTGGGCTTGTTTCTTTCTTTCTTTTTAAAGAATTTAACCTTTATTTATCTGTTGTTGTTTTTATGTGGTGCTGAGAAGCGCATTCTGCATTACTTAGGCTGTGGCTTCTGCACCACTTGTGGGGCCTCGGTGAAGGCACACCAAATCTGTCTGGCTTGCACAATAAGTAGCAATCCCATCCCCACCACCCCACACTCAGGGCAGGGGCGTTGCTTCTATGAATGGTGTGTATGTGTATGGGGGAGGGGGTGTCACTGCTAATTTTTTGATTCTAATGGAACTGCAGCCGGGAGTCTCTCCAGGTGGCTGCAAAAGCTTTCCAGAACTGTGGACCAAAGAGCGAGGCTGCCACCTAATGGACGAATTGGGACAAATCAGCCCATTCATGGAGTGCTTAATGGATGATACCAGGTGATGTTTTATTTGCTCCTCACAACAACCCTGTGAGGTAGGTAGGTGCAGACCAAGGTCCTGGGCACCACAAGATAAAGACATGTACTTAAGGCCCACATGGGGACAGTCCTTGATTTGTACTTCGTCTATCCCACAGGAAGGCCTCGGCCTCCCTCCACATCCTCACACTCAACATTCACCACAGGCAACACCTGGTCAGGAGCAGTCGGACCCTGGACTGGGCTGCCTGATTCCCTTCTGAAGCCTCAACTTCCACTCGACTTTTGCCATAGCCCATCCTGGAAATCACCAAACTACATCTTCAACTGCAGGTCCACAGCAAAATAGGAGACTGAACTCCTCCGGTCTTTACTGCAGGGTCCCCGGCCATACAGTTAATGACTGACATCAAGGAACAGGGGCTTGGGTGTACACTCCAGAAGAGGTGCCAGCAGGCCAGACCTGGGGATGTGTGTGCAACTGTCCTGGCACCATCACGTGCACTTCGTGGACAGCCCCCTAAGCCCCCATTTGCCTCTCTTTTTCTGATCCTGAAGACGATTCTGGGTGCTGAGCGACTCAGAGTCCTTTGGACATAGCTGGTGGTTCTTGTGGGTCTTTGAGGGGCTTCTCTGTCTTCTCCACTGCATGGAAACCTTTCCTCTGGCTGCAAATGGAGTGAAGAAGAATTCCTGCACTGACAGACGAGGGAAAGAGACTGAGGAGAGGAAGGTATACGTACGGGGAGCCTTGACCCATGCCAGGCTCTCCCTCACTTCATCCCTAAAGGAAGTATTCTCCCCATTTTGCACACGAAGCAACTGACACAGAAGGACCAGGTAGCTTGTTTAGAATTCAGTCAGAAAATGGGATGGGAGAAAAGCAGCACTTGTGTGGTTAGAGGCCATCAGGAAAGGGAAGAAGCTGACTCACCTGCAGCCACGGACACATTCAAGGACTCGAGTCCGGGAGGCAGCTGGCGCCCTGGCAGAATGGTAAGGAGGAGCCGACAGGAGGCCTGCACCTCCTGGGACAGACCAGAACCCTCGTTCCCTGCAGGGCACAGGGCAGAGGGTTAGGCAACCCAGCTAGACACCAAGTGCTCAGGAAACATGCATTGGAGCAAGAAGAGCAGGGACATCTACCTACCCAGCACGAGGAGAGTAGGCTGGTCCCAGAGGAACTCTAAGCAACTCATGATGGGGGTTTGGGAGGACTGCGAAACCTCAGGCCCCGGGCAGCCCACGGTGCCTGCCACAAGCCAGCCTTGCTGGGCTTTGGCCTGAAAGAGAAAACACTATGTTTTAGCTCACAAATCTTCATCAGAGCCCTGGGGAAATGGAGCCCAGTCTTCACCACATGTGCCCTTGCTTAAAGATGCATTCAGTTCTGTCAAGTTATTAAACACCTCGATCTGTTCAGGCTATTGTAGGCACCGAGAATGAGGCTGTGAACAAAAGAAACAGAACAGAATCCCAGCCTGTGGAAGGCCTTGTTGAAATGACATGTGAGTGTAGACCTGGAGAGGATGAGGGGCGCCACGTGGACATCTGGGGGAAGAATGCTCTGAGCATTCTAGGAATGCAAAGGCCCAGAGGCCTTGCTTACCTGCACATGTGAGGAACAGTAAGGAGGCCACAGAACAAGGCTTACGTAAGGGAGGACCTTGAAAGCCACTGAAAGGACTTGGGCTTTTACTCTGAGATGCAAAAGCTTTGAAAGGTTTGGATAGAAAAGTAATATGGTCTGACTTACATTTCAACAGTATCACTCTGCCTGCCATGCTGAGAATCAGAACAGACGGAAGACCAGTGAGGCTTCTGCAATGAGTCAAGAGACGATGGTGCAGCTGGCAGTGGTGGAGGCTTGGGAGGCTGAGGCAGGAGGATCATGAGTTCAAAGCCAGACTCAGCAAAAGTGAGGTGCTAAGCAACTCAGTGAGACCCTGTCTCTAAATAACATACAAAATGGAACTGGGGATGTGGCTCAATGGCTGAGTGCCCGAGTACAATCCCTGGTACAAAAACAAGAGAGAGAGACAATCGTGGCCTGGACTATGGTAGCAATGGAGAGTTTGAGCAGTGAAACTTTCACTGGCAATAACTCCAAGATAAAGCCAATAGGATTTGGCCACAGGTGGAATGGGGGCATGGTATGAGAGCAGGAAGTCAAGGATGGCACCATGGTTTCTAGCCAAAGGGATGGAGTTGCCACAGTTGGACTGGGTAAGCTTCAGAAGGAAAGATACTCAGTTTTGAACATGTTGTTTGAAATGCCCACTAGGAATAAAAAAGAGCTTCAGAGGAGACAGGTAGATGAGTGAATCTGGAGTTCAGGGGTGAGAGCTGGGCTAGGGTACACATCTAGGAGATGGTATTTAAAGCCATGAGACAAGATGAGATCAACAAAGTGAATATTCAGAAAAGAGATCCAGGGACTGAGATCTGGGAAAATTTAACGTTTGGGCACGAGGGAGTTGAGAAGGAATCACCAAGGTCAACTTCAAGAAAGAGCACAGTAGCCAAATGCAGTGGTGCACACCTGTAATCTCAGCAGCTGGGGAGGCTGAGGAAGAAGGACCGCAAGGTCAAAGCCAGCCTCAGCAACTTAGAGAGGCCCTAAGCAACTCAGTGAGGCCCTGTCTTTAATAAAATATAAAAAAGGGCTGGGGATGTGGGTCAGTGGGTAATCACTCCTGGGTTCAATCTCCAGTACCAAAAAAAAAAAGAAAGAACACAGTGATGGGGCTGGGGTTGTAGCTCAATGGTAAAGCACTTACCTGGCATGTGTGAGGCACTGGGTTTGATTCTCAGTACCACGTATAAATACATAAGTAAATAAATTATAAAGATCCATTGACAAATAACAACAAATTAAAAAGAAACAAAGAACACAGAACAGGAGAAAAATGAAATAGAATGGGCTGGTGGTACGGCTCAATGGTACAGCACCTGCCTCACATGGTGAGGCGCTAGGTTCAGTCCTCAGCACCACTGAGCATTTTAAAAGCCTAGGTGAATAAGGGGAGGAATATCACATGGAGGAAAGAGTGGTCATCTGTGCCAGATGTTGCAGATGGCTTATGTCAGATAAGGACTGAAACAGACCCTTGACTATAGCAACATGGAGGATACCGGTGACCTTGTCAAAGGCTTCAATTCAGCATGGGATTGAGGTCAGGAGAGAATGAGAACATCTGTGAATGTGACGAGAATGAAAGTGAGAAAATGGAGAAAAAAGAACTTGCTGGAGCAGTGTCTTTTAAGTGGGCAGGAAGGTCCGGGGCCCAGCACGGCCTTTGCTTGAGGCACCTCCAGTTCTTCCATGGTGACAGAAGGCAAGACAGCCCTATGGGCCAAGCTGCTGGTGGGAGGAGGCAGATGTCCTGAATGGAGCTTACGGAATCAGAGTGTTTGTGTTTTTTCAAGAGCTACTTGTTGAGAGGCTGGGGGTGAGGAAGGGAAACTTCATCTCCTACTAGGCTTGGCCAGAGTTCCTCTGAAGGGGACTCCCTGTAAGAAGGAATAGCCAGAAAACACTTCTGGGGATGTGCTGTTCAATGTAGTAGCCATGAGCCACATGTGACTACTAAGCAATGGAAATGTGACTACTCCAGGTAGATATGTGCTGTATGTGAAAACTGTTAAATGAGATGTAAAATATTAATGATATTTAAAATGATAATATTTTGGATATAATAGGGTAAGTTACTAAAATTAATTTCACCTTTCAACGTGGCTAGTAGAAAATATGAAGTTACTACGTGGCTGGCATTGTCTTTTTATTGTGCAACTTTGTTTCAGAGCTCTCCTTTTCAAGAGGGAATTTCTCACAGGACGACCGTCAGAGGGGCTGCCAAATGCAGTGCAATACTGCCCTCTTGTGGCCAGCAGGGGGAACAACTGAAAACGGACGGATAGAGGGACCACAGAAGTTCCTCCCTCAAGTTTACCCCTTCCTAGAAATCAAAGGCATACAGGTCCCCTTGTTCAATGATCCTTTCAAGCTGTGCCCCTACTCAAGGACCACAAATCTCCTGTTCCCCAGCTCCCCAGGGCTAAACAGCAAGCATCGCTTAAGACCTACATAGCAATGAGACACTGAAGTACCCTTAAAGAAGCGGGAAAGAAGACTGCCTGGGGAAGCGTGCTGGAGATTGAACCCGGGGCCTTGTGCTTGCTAAGCAAGTGCTCGACCACTGAGCCACATCCCTAGCCCAGGAGTGCAGCAAAGGGAACGATGCCAGAAAGCCCCTAACTTCAGAACTTTTCTTTTGGTGGTTTTGAAAACTCCAGGACCCTTCCCAATGGGATTTAGAAGGCCGTAGGAATCAATGCGCACACGCACCCTTCTCTCTCCTTCCACCACTCACTGCTTAAAAACGGTGGCTGAGCTAAGCTCATCTCTTTCTTTCCCGTTCCTTCCCCCTCTCCATTTACCTGTAAAAAACCTGCCAGGTCGTCAGTAGAGAACACATCCATCACCTCCATAGCCCCCGCACTGGCCTTGCTGACTACTGGAGTGAGCGGGCAGCTGTAAAGATTCCCGGCCCCAGCATTAGGTTGGTCAATCTCAAACCTGGCGCCCCACCCACCCCCGGGCTCCCAAGGGCTAGGGGTGCAAGTTCTGGCAAAGGGGAGGAACCACCCAAAGGCCAAGGTGCTTAGGAACTCGACTGCACCTCCAAGTTGGGTACATGGGGAATAAGGAGTGCCCGTGCCTGTTTCTCTGGCTTATAATGACTTTGTCCACTCCGAGGAAGTGAGCGGAGCGCAGGACAGCACCAAGATTCCGGGGATCCTGGAGCCCCTCAAGGACGAGGCACAGTCGCTGGTGGTTGTCGCCTGGGCTTACTTCCTCCGCTTCCCTGCAAGGCCGGGGCCGCAGCGGGCTCACCTCCATGCAGACGCCCTGGTGCACGTGGTGGCGGCACAGGGCGTCCAGTTTCTGCCGCCTGGGCCGCAGAACTGGGATGTCCCGCGCCTCCGCTTCCCGGAGCAGCTCGGCCCGCTCTCCCTGTAGTCCAGCCCTGCCGGCTTGGAGCAGGAGCCGGGCCACTCGGCGGCGGGCGGCTCGCAGAGCCAGGAGACACGGGGACAAGCCAAACAGCAGCTCTAGCCGCGGGGTCGGCGCCAAGTCATCCAGCCTCAGGCGGCTTAGTTCCTCCCCGCCAGGCCGCACCCCACGGGAGAAATGACGGGCCACCAGACGACCAGAGCAGTAACAGGTAGAGACCGTGAGGGTCGAGAGCAGCCCCATTGTGCGGGCCGTGCCGGGAAGCCCCCAGCTGCGTCCTGGCGAGGAGTCACCGCCACGTGCAGGTGAAGAGGACACAACGGCTGCTCTCAGGGACGAACAGACCCCACTACCAGCTCGAGGACTCCCTGAACCCGACAGCTGAGCCACACAGTGCCCGTCCACCCCCCACCCCTCCGCGATTTCCACGTGGGTCCTGCGCTTCCGGGTTCCGGCAGCCCCACCTCCTGCCCCACGACGCACTGCGCATGCCGGATCGCCAGGACGTGCCCACAGCGCTCTCTGCAGGGCTGGATGAGCCGAGAGCGCTACCCACAGCGGAGAGCTGGCGGACCCGCAGTGAGGCTGAGCCGGCTTTGCGGCTGTCCCCCGATAAGTCCCAAGAGCGCGGGGGGCCGGCGCGTTCGGCCACACACTAGCAAATGAGAATTCACGGAACAGGTTGGCCTTCCTCCTGTTGAACCAAGTCAGTCTTGATGCCTCTCTCCCCACATCCAGGCGCGTCCCATTTGGGGACTTTTCCCAGAGGCTTCTCCTTGTCAGACCTCATCACCAATTAATAGGACCCCAACCATACTTCCCAAACCTTGGCCGCTCATTCTCTTCCCAAGTCATATCTCGGCCTCTCATGTCCCTGATGACTAGCCCAACTGATGCATTACTACAGGTAATGGCTGGACTCCTTTGCTCAATGCTCAGATCCCTAGTGACCCAGGACACACCTCTTCTCTCTCTCTCTCTCTCTCACACACACACACACACACACACACGCACGCACGCACGCACACAGGACCTTTTTTTCTCATTAATTTTAGTCTTGCTGTGTTGCCCCGGCTAGCCTCGAACTCATCTCCTCCTGCCTCAACCTTCCATATATTCATTCAGTCCCATCTTGCTCCTACACTGTTTGTTGTTTCATTTTTGATACCAGGGATTGAACCCAGGGGAGCTTTACCACTGAGCCACATCCTCAGCCCCTTTTATTTTTTGAGACAGGGTCTCATTGAGTTGCTCAGGGCCTTGCAAAATTGCTGAGGCTGGCCACCAATTTGCCATCTCCTGCCTCAGCCTCTGGACTTGCTGAGATCACAGATGCTCCCACTACATCCGTCCTGTTCTTAGTTTTTAGCGTGCTATTCACACAGCACTGAACACCCTGTTTGTCTTCTCTTTGTCTTTAGCAAACTCCTCTCCATTTTTAAAACCCAACCCAAACTTCTCCTGCTCCCTAAGGTAATCCACAGTCCAGAAGTGATGTCCCACATCCACCCATGTGAAAGAAATTCTGAGACACAAACCATTTGGATCACAGAGGAGGAAGAATTGAAAGACATTCCTGAAGTTCAGGTTGGTTGTGATTTTCCTTTTTTAATTATCACAGTGAAATCTACTGGGAGCCAGGCCCTGGGATTCTGCTCTTATAGTCAGAGTGGAGGGATGGTCCCACTCGAAGCACAGAAACCTAGATTGGGCTGGAGAGCTGGAAAGGGGAAGGGAAGGGGAAGCAGTGGGGCAGGGAGAGAAGGAAAGCTGGAGCCCTGGGTAACCATTCAGATGTAAGGTGAGGGCCTCTCTCTGCCACTCCAACCTTGAAGGGCAGAGATTGGGATGCAAGAAGATGGGGGAGCCCCCCTTTTGGCCATATCCCCTTTGCCAGTTGAAAGGGAAGCCTGAGGAGAGCAAAGGTGAAAGAGACCAAGGAGGAAACTCACAGCGTGTTAACAGGAAAAGCAATGAGGGCCCCCACCTCCTCTCCCCAGCCCATTTTTCACATTTGCAGTGGAAATGATTTGACAAGATATTAAAACTTCAAACAAAATTTCTAGCCCTTGGGGTAGAGACAGAAATCAACACCTAAAATCCAGAGGCAGGAGCCAAGCCATCAGGAGTAGGGAGGGAAGGAAGAGCTCCCACAGGACACTAGACCACCTGCTCTGTGGGCCTCATCTGGATGTCTCCAATCTGTGGAAGGCACAAGGCTTGAGGCAGCCAGGACACTCCCCACCCCTTAAAGCCTCCCTGCTCCCCTCCTGTGGGGATGGTTGGGCTCTTCCAGGGGGTGGACAGTCAAAGCCAAACTCACCTGGACATGTGGGGGGCTGCTGAGGACATAGATGACAGCCTCAGCCACATCCTCAGGTTTGAGACACTGAGAGTACCAGGGGAAAGGTTGAGACAAGGAGAGAACGGACCCAAGTTCTTTCCCACCACTGAGGTCCTCTCCAGTGTCCACGTTCCCACCCCAACCCTCCAGGAGGGGTAACAAACTGGACCGAAGGGTGGAGACTGAGGCCAGGGTTCCCTGTCTTAGGGATTGGGTGCCTTTACCAGGCCCAGAGGGAAGCCCACCTTCATGACTTCATAGGTAGCAGCTGCTTTTTCAGGGTCCTTGTCATGGAGTCTGAAGGCAAACTGGGTCTCCACCACACCTGGAGAAATGCACTGGGCCAACAGAAGGGCCTAATCAGAGGGTGAGCTTTTCAAGGCCTTGGGGAGGTTGGGAGGAAAGGATGGAGGTCGCAGGGCCCCAACTTCCATGGTGATGGCAGCCCAGTGTCCAGCAAACACACCCTCCCTCCAAAGGTGCCACTGTCAAAGATCACATGTTCCCTACCATGAACAGAGCCCTTCCTATATCTCAGCTAAATGACTGACAAAATGGCATTTCTTAAAGGCTCCTAAACATTAGGTGGAAAGAGGGAAGGAGAAAGAGGAATGAAACTCCACATTTTACAAATAAGACTGAAGCTTGGAGAGATCCAGTGACTTGCCCAAGATAATGTAGCCTTCAAGGAAAGAGCCTAGAGTTGTGGCATCCAGCCATTGTGTACCTGGTTTCCCACAATCCCTGGCTTTCCCCTAGTTTCACTCAAGCATGTTCCCAAGTCAGCCCTCTACTGGTTACCGGTGAAATGAAGAATCTCAAGAGCTGAGCAAGGCCATGCAAGGAGCAACAGAGCCCAGGGGTTCTGTACCCAGTCCACTCCCACAGACTTGAAACACCCACCCTGACCATGAGCTTCTGGGCAGCATGTGACAGGAGGGCCTCTGCCCACCCCATCCCCACCAAGCCTAGGCCACAGCCTCACCGTGGCTCGAATGTGGGTCTGGGCCTCCCGAAGCTCTTGTCTCAATCCCTCAGTCAGCGCAGTGACGGTGTATTTGGTTGCACTATAGAAATGGGTCGCAGAGTTGGGTGGGACTCGGTGACCAGACATGCTGGGTGGAAAGAGGGAAGGAGAAAGAGGAGTGAAACTCCACAGAAACAGGCAGTGAATGCCCTCTGCCATCCTGGTCAACCCCATACCCAGAGGCCAATGGGAAAACATCTAAAGTGGAATTCTGTGGTAACCCCCACAGCCCACTGAATCTAACTTTTTTTTTGGCAGGGGGTACTAGGGATTGAACCCAGGGGCACTTGGCCACTGAGCCATATCCCCAGACCTTTTTTGTATTTTATTTAGAGACAAGGTCTCACTGAGTTGCTTAGCATCTCGCCATTGCTGAGGCTGGCTTTGAACTTGCAATCCTCCTGCCTCAGCCTCCAGAGCCTCTGGGATTACAGGTGTGTGCCACCATGCCTGGGTGAATCCTGGAATATCTCCAGAAGCAGGAATAGGCCATGTCACCACTCAGGATGGGGTCTCCCCAAAGGTTGAGCCTATGTAGTCTTTCTCTGTGCCACCTGCCACCTGTATAGGATATTCATCCTAGCACCTGAAGACAGGATGTGTGCAGTCCCAGGAGAGTTCCGGGGTTTGGCTGCAGAGGGAAGGGGCTAGACTGCCCATTCTGGCCAAGCAGGGACTAGCACTTTCTCTCATTGGAATTGCACCTTCTGGATATTTTCCCACCAAGGAAACTGAAGTCCAAAGAGGTCAAGTGAGCAGCAGCAGATCACCCACCCTGGAGGGCAAGTGATGACTTCAGTTTTCTGTGTAGGCCACCAGCCCTCACCTGTTGATGTTAATGATGTGCCCGTCATCCACATTCCGCTCCTTCATGGACTGGTAGGCTTCCCGTGTACAGATGCTGAGAGCCAGCACGTTTACCTGTAGGCCAGGGAGGGCAGTGGGGTATCTCCAGCTTGGGCCTGACAAAGCAGGTGACAGAACCAGAGCCCAATGGCAGGCCAAGGGCACCCTATCTTCTCCATAGGTTCCCCTCCACTAAAAGCTGCCTCTCGCCAGACGATGGCAAAGGTAGCTCCTCTTGGTTGGCCTCATCACCCCCAAATGTAAATCCCTCAAACCCATCCAGACCTGGGAGACCATTTTGGCTATCCCTGCTGTACGAGAAAGAACCTGCCTTAATAATCATTTCCTTTTCTTCCCCCAAATAGCCAACCTTCTCAGGGACAGTGTCCCTGTCCCTGCTCCTTCCCCAACCAACTGAAAACCTTCCTAAAATGTCTTTAAACTCTCTTTCTCCAAGAAGGCACCCCAGCCTTTCCTGCCATCCACAGCCATCTTCCTCCCTTGAGACCATGAGTGTCAAGGAGAAGCCCGCCTTTTATACCTGTCTTTAACCTGGGTCCCATCCCAGAGCCCAGGTGCAGAGACTCTTCAGAGGGTGGGGTCACTGCCACTCCTGCTCTCTATGGCAGAGGTGACCCCAAGTCCCCACTTTCATGGAGCAGAGGTCTAAAGCAGTGTCTGCTGTGGAGCGCCTGCCTGACTCCACCCTTTAGCTTCATCCCCAGGACAAGCAGAGTTTTCAGCAACTCCTCACACCTCCCCTCTTGCACAGAAAGGGAACAGCTGACAGATTTCTTTATCAGGTGTCTGAGTCAAAAATCAGGACAGACCACCCTTAGTGTGGACCCCCCTTGGTGCTTAGGGCAGCAGCAGGAGTTGGAAGCAGGAAAATCAGCCTTGTTTCTCCCCTTCTTATAAGTGTGGGGTTGTGGTTTAGATGGAGGAGGAAAAATGGATTCCCTGGGACCATGTGAGGAAATCTCCCAGGTCTTTGGGTTTTGGGGCAGGGGAGAGAAGATGCTTTCTTAGGATGATCCTAGTAAACTTAGGCAATCTTCAAGTTGAAAGGGACCTTTGGGACTTAATAAGTCCCTTCTTTAACAGATGGGCAAGTTGAGGTCAAGGTTTAGAGACCCACTTGCTGCAGGTTAAGAGCCATGACCATGATCTCCCCGGAAGACTCTGAGAACAGGGCTTCATTTTTATTGTTCATTCCTTCATTTCCAGATCCAAGCATCTACTAGATACTAAACCTATTGATACCAGACGTGGAAAGGATTGTGGGGGAAAGAAGCATCCTGTTTAGACATTGCTTTCAACTTCTCCAAACACTGTCATATTCTAATGTCATCCCATAACATCACTCTTACTACATAGATATCCTATCCCCAACAGCCCTCCAGCTCATAGGCCCCTGGCTCTGGCTCTCCTCCCTACCCAGACCCCAGGCCTGGACCCCTTACGTTGAACATGTTCTTCCAACCGCTGGTGCTGCCTGAGAGCAGGGTGTCAGGCCGGGCCAGGCCAGCATTGTTGATGCAGATGTCCACACCACCATGCTGAGAGCGCACAGCTGAGAACATGGAGAGGATGTCCTCCTCATTTGACAGGTCACATCTGTAGGGGATCAAAGTCCCGGGGTAGCCTGCACTCTTACATTCAGCAGCCAGCTCCTATGAAACCCAACAGGGGTCTCACTGGGGTGAGCTGCACATTCCCATACCCCCCCACCTGGAGTTGTACCTCCCTCCTTGTCACCACTCATAGGACTCTGTCCTTTGGCAGCCACCTTTTGGCCACATAGATGGGCTGCCCATCCCCCAAAGCTTGTCCTCCTTGGTCAAAGTCCAGAGGGTGAGGGCACTCCCTGAGTGAGGGAGGGGGAAAGTTGAGTGGATCATCAGAAGAAGGAACCTCACGTATAAACTCAAGTTTTCAATTCTAAGGAGGAAGAAACAAGGCAGGGATCCTAGGAATGGGGTGGGGAATCCTCTTTTCAGCCTCTTCACAAGAATACCTCCTCTGCCCGCAAGTAGGATGCACCTTTTGCCCTACTTCATGCTTCTTCCACAAGTCACTGAGCTGGCTATCCAAGGTGTCAGTTCTCTCCTCCCCACTGATATCAATCGATCCCTCTCAGAAAGGCTCATCTCCGAACCATTACCCTCCCTTGCAGTCAGTTTGGCAAAACTCAAAGGTGTGTTCTCACACCTACACCTTCCATTGAAGCCCAGCTGCCCACCTCCTCTTTCCCTCTACCTTCAGAAGGGGTAAGGATGTCAGGACAGATTGTTTATTCCTCTAACCCCTGGTACACCTCCCTCTACCCCCATGTTTCCCTGGAGATTATGAGGCAAGTAGGTGGCAGGTGGTAGGTGACAGGTGACACAGGGCACCCTCTATACAACTCCAGAGGATGTACCTGAGAAAGCAAAGCCAGTGAAAGACAGCTGTGAGGGAGTTGGTATTCAGAAGAAAGAAGAAAACAGGCTGCACGGCCTAGAAGGCATTTGAGATTTGTGAAGGTGACATGTGGTGGGGGTAGTGGGTACCTAGAGGAAGGCCAGCTTGGCCAGCTGCCTTAGCCTGGAGCCCCTTCCTCCTCCCAAACCAAGCTAGGAATAAAGGGTTGAATCAGGTGACTGGAGAAATTCATTTCTGCTCTTTCTGTGAGTCTTCTGGGACTCAAACACCCTCTCTGCCTGATTTTATTGCTCAGAACCACCTCAGGAAATAGAGTTTCTCTTTGAAGAAAGCCAAAACCCAAAGTCTGCTCTAATATCCATGAATTAACCAATCAATAAAAGCAGACTATGGGTAAGAAAGCCTGGAATTTGGGGATCCTCTTTAGAAAAGTTTCCACACCAACCCCAAACCTCAGTCCTGGGTCAAACATTCAAAACCTCTAGCTCCTGCTCAGCAGAGGACCAAAGGAAGCCAACCTGCCCCAGCACACAACATCCCCCTTTTTTCAGGGGCTGAGAACTGATTTCTCTATTGCTGTCTTCTCACTGCGCCTCCTTCACCTACTCTCAAAACCAAACTGAAACCCCTCACAGCAGGAGCATTCTCCAGTCATGATAGAGAGTCATTCTTGGAGCTGCATGATCAACCTGGGGATCCTCTTGGGATTCAGGGTTCCCCTTTCCTGCTAGCTTGGGGTATATAAGAAAGCAAGAATGGCTTCAGAATTAGGGGATTCTGTTCAATTCCTGATCTCTAGGTTCCAAAGCTAGGGCTGGGCCCTGAGCTTATTCTAAGAAAAGAAAGGGAGAGGCAGAGTGGGGCAATGATGGAGCCAGGTGACCTTAGGATTATCTGGGAGGTTATAAAAAGTACCTTTGATCAGCAGCAGGGGAGGGGAACCTTCCTTCCTGTATACCTTCTCCCTCTGTCCCCACCCAAGGCCTCCTGATCTTCTTTCTACCTGGAGACTTTGAGCGATGGTGGAGATAGTGTCCTACAACTAAGCACTAGTCCACGCCTTGAGAGTGGTCTTGCCAGGGCAAATCCAGATAACCTGTAATGGAAATTTCTCGTCTCCTTCCTCCCTGCCCCAAATAGCCAAGTTCATTTCCTTTCTGAGCCCTTGTCACTCATAACTCTGGGGGTTTCCAACCCCATGTTAAGAGAAAAAACAGAAGTTCTGCTGGATCTACATTGTTTTATCCCCTCAGAGTTTACATATTTGACACCCTGTTTCATCTACTCAGTCCCACCTGGGGAACTTAACTGGAGAAAAGTGTACCAGTAAATATTGCATTCATCCCTCTTGCCTGTGGGGCATGGGTTAACTTTCAGACTTGGGGGAGGTAGGGCGTTCTTCAGAAGAGACCCCACCCTAATCCTCCTCAGTCCTGGATCAAACTTTCAAAATCTCCAGCTCCTGTTCTTCTTCAGGCCAGCACTTTGCCTGGTGCGACGGGTGAGGTCTGGAGACCAGAAGCCAACCAGCCACTAAGGTTAGAAAGCTTGCTATTCTTCTGCCTGCCTACCTAGCCCCTGACCTCAGGCTTCCCCTTCCCTCAGGCCAATATTCTGGGCCGGAGGGTGCCCAGGAGGGGATAGCAGAAGAGAATACCACGGGTGGCTCAGACTCGGTACAATGGAGCAGGGGGTTGTTAGGAGTAACTGGCCCCTTTAAAGACCGGACTTAGAAGGTAGAAGCCTCCCATTAGGCATCTGAGAGACCTCTTCTACCAGGCAACTCCTGCTCCCAAGCCTGTTGCAAAAGGTCCCTTGATTTCAGGCAAGTGAGGATATGGTCATAGCCAGGCTCCGGCTACTCCTCTTCACCAACCCGGAGTCCTACCCCGCGGAAACGATGTCCTCCAGAGTCTCCGCTCTCCGGCGGGCCTTACCTCAATGTTGCCCACGGTGCGGGCACAACCCACCACCTTCAATCCCTGCTGGACCAAGGCCCGGGCTACCGCTGCTCCGATGCCCCCAGAGGCTCCGGTCACCAGGGCCAGCCGGCCGCGCCACCGCTCCATGCCGGCTCTGGCCATAATCCCTAGCTTCCCGCCCACCTCGCTCGGGGAACAGGGCACTAGAATCTCTGAGCTTAGTCCCGCGTCGCCAAGGCTCTGCCGCTCTTCCGTTATTGCGGCGGTAGCCGCCTCCAAGCTGCGGGCGTCGGCGCCGCACTTCGACCCACCCCCAAGCGGGCCGGCCGCGGGCCAGGACTCCGCCCTCCAGTCCTCAGCTCCCGGCCACATCCTGCCGGAGGTCGGCCGAGGCCTGGTCGCCCCGCCCTTCCTGTCCCGCCCCCTCCGCGGCCTCCGGAAACTGTACGTTCCGCTGTGCGGGCGGGCGCGGGAGGGTCTTGCTTCCAGTGTGAGCTTTACCCGCTTGCGTCAAGAAAACTTAAGCCAAACGGGGAATTTCTCTAGACCAGAGGACACATACATACATGGCCTCTTGTTCAGTCTTCTTTCCCTGTTCCTGATCCTGGGAAAGCCAAAATGAGGCTATAAGAGCGCTTGAGGTGACTCCAGCACCCTTCCCAACAGTCTATGACTGATGGAGATGATGGAGTCCCGGAAAGGTCAAGTGTCCCCCGCTACCCGATACCTTGGCTTTATAGCCAGGGAGAACTAAATGATTAAAAATTGAAATAACCGCAAGGGCCACTTTGGGGATTTTGCTCCCAAGTGGCCCTACTGTCTCCAACTGTCCTGAAACTGCCTTCCCCACATTGTAGCAGTTGTCAAGATGCATACCACAGATTACAGCAAGAGATAACAACTGTACTGAATGCTTACTGTGGCAAATTTTTAAAGCACTTTAAATATATTAACTAATCTGCACAACCACTCTGAGATAGTACACACACTACTCAAAGCCAGGGCCTCATGCATGCCCTGGACCACTGAGCTACATACATTTGCATCCAATATCCTCATTTAAAAATCTTTTTTTTGGGGGGGTGGGGGGGGGCGCAGTGCTGAAGATCATCAAACCTAGAACTTCATGCATGCTATGGAAGCATTCCACCAGAGCTACATCACCAGTTAGTAAATGCTTTAAATTTTTTTTTTTTTTTTTTTAGTTTGTGTATGGACACGTTTTTTTATGTGGTGCTGAGTATTGAAAGAACCCAGTGCCTCACATGTGCCAGGCAAGTGCTCTTCCACTGAGCCACAACCCCAGCCCCAGTAAATGCAGTTTTTAACCAGGGTGTCCCTATGTTGCTCAGCCTTCCGAAGTGGCTGGGGTTACAGGTGCACACACCTGTTTCCCATGTCTCCTTTTTTGGGGGGTGGCAGGGTTGGTGGTACTGGGGATTGAATTCAAGTGCATTATTGCTGAGCCACATCCCCAGTCCTTCTTTTTTTCAGAGAAGGTCTCACTAAATTGCTGACGGTGGCCTCAAACTTGGATACCCCTGCCTCAGCCTCCTGAGTCACTGGGATTACAGGCATGCACCACTGTACCCATGCGTTATCCATTATTTTAAAGATAAGTATATGGATAGAAAAAGGGGTAAAGCATGATATAGACCACAGCACTGTAATCTCAGGCCAGTGTACTCCTAAACCTTCTCAAGTTGTTGGTTTTATTCAGAGTAGAGCTCACTTTGCTATCTGCTCACTCAGGGTATTCCACCAAAGTTCTGAAAACTGCCTCATTTCTGCATTCTTTATATCCTTCCAAAGAAAAAGGGTCTCTGGGGCCCAGGATGTTGCTCAGTGGATTGCCAAGCATGCACAAGGCCCCAAGATGATCCCCAGCACTGCAACAGAAAGAGATAAAGAAAAAAGATCTTTGAATATTAATTCAAGGAACATTCATTTGCCTATCCTGTGTTTTGCTCCAAGGACAAATATTAAAGCAAAACCAGCCATTGCTTTTAGAGATCTCAAAAGGACACCTAATTATAATGGTGGTGGAGAGAGGATAGGCCTCAGAGCCAAGTGCAGCCTTCTGATCCTAGTCACACATGTTGAGTAATTACTTATTATATAAGCCTTAACTGAAATTCTGTCAAGTGTTGTTTTCTTACTTTTGGGTCAGTAAGAACCTCTGAATCTAAGAGGTGTTTTCTGTTACCACTTAGGGGATTTTAAATAATAACAAAGTTTTATGAAAAAGATGCTAGCCAGTATTTAAAGGTATTGCAGCAAATTTATTCTTTCAGAGCAAAAGACTAGAAACTGCTTTTCTCAATTGCCAACTCTGATCAAGGGAAAATTTTGTCTTCAACAATCCATATATCTCTATCCTCATATGCATTTCATCCTTACATAAACACTGGCCAAGTACCAAGTACAGGCAGCAAATATTAAAGTACTGCCACACATGAAGTAGAAACATGTACACCACATTCTACTATGCGTATTAATAAATATTCTTTATTTTAAATTTTGCACATCGCGCTTTAACATTACATCCAAACATTTCGCAAGTGGATGTCTACTTTGTAAAACCATATATTCAGCTCATTGTCATTTCTGTACAGAAGTATAAGTACAACATTACTTTTTGCCACTAAGTTGCTTTAGTAAGTCTCACAGGAAGAGAAACATTTAATGAAAAGAGATGGCTTAAATCATATGGCAGGCCTGCGCAGCCACAAAACTAAGGACACAAGCCTGAAGAAAGAACAAACTAATGAAGTTACCTCCACCATCTCCCAAAACAAGAAAGAATCACATTGATTTAAGATAAAATTTTGCCATAAGTCACTAAATTAAGTTTTTTTGAAAGAGAAGGCGCAGTAGTCATCTTGAGTGTTTCATTGAAAGACAGAGCTATTTTATTTATTTAATTTGCTCCAGCCGTTGTCAACCAGCCACTACAAATGGGCCTCTTGTGGTCATTTAAGCGGCAGTATTTGTTAAATTTCTCCTTCAGATGCTGTCGGTATTGTTCTCTATTGCTGTAGAAAGACTGATTATTAGCCATAAATGACTGTATTTCATCTTGTGAGATAAAGATTTCCTCATCTGAAGTACATTCAGACTCATCCTGCAAATTAAAGCAGTAGTTAAGATCATGACTTTAAGAATGCAAAATGCTATGCTGACAGACTAGAAGGACAGCTAAAAATTAAAGCTTTTTAGTTTCAGTTCAGTCACACTAAGTCTTTAGTTGGAGTGTTTAATAAGCATCATATTCTTCTGTCTTAGAAAGTAATAAGTGAGAATAAAATCTATCTATTTAGAATAAAACCTAAATTCTATTTGGTTTGAAACCCCAAATCTACAATTTATCCTAGATGCCTCTGAGTCCAGAGTATCACCATAGGTATCTGCCTTTGAAAAAAATGATTAATTAGAGATGGTTGCAACAACTAGTTAAGCAAATCTGAACCAAACTTGCCATGCATGTGGGACCCCCTCACCGCCTCCACCCCCATCACTTATGGATCTGGTATAATTAAAATATCAGGAGTTGATGTCAATTATAAAGAGTTTTCCAAGCTCAGTTCTGCTTTTATATCACATGACACCTAAAGGAAGTAAACTAGAATGCAAGCTCTAGTTCAGATTCTATATTTTCTTTTCTGATCTCAAAGGGTAGCTACTAAAAATTACCACTCAGGTGGAATTTGCTTATAGAACACTTTACGGAGGCAGTTCCTAGATTAAATGTTACCTCTATCCTGTTCTCCTCCCAAGTAGTCTCTTATAACTTTGAGATGAAGAAGAAAGTGTGCTCTACAGCAGTTATGTAAAACACCAATGGGAGAAATAGTCACAAAATAATGGAATATTACCCTACATTTTTTAAAAAGTGTCTCTCTATGCCCCACCTGAAACCCTGAAATACTATCCCCTTATCCACAATAAGGCATAATGTACTACTTACAAGGAGTTCAACTAAGCTCTTGGCACCTTTTCCGGAATCAGGACCAAACAACATTTCTGTGGGTTCTGCAAACTGTGGTACATTTTTCCTATGCTCAAACCAAGGCAGTGGCTGCCCACCCTTTTCAGCACTGCAACAGCTTTCAGGATGTGCATCTTTGGTCTTGTCGCGGTGAAACACTGTGTGCACGGTATTTCCTGAGGTCTCTCGATTACCTGGATCTGTAATACAGCTTCCAAGCTTTTGGATCTGAAACCACAACAAAAGATTTCCCAAGTAAAAAGGCAGAGAATAGAGGCTAGGATTGTGGCTCAGTGGTAGAGTACTTGCCTAGCACACGTGAGGCTCTGGGTTCGATCCTCAGAACCACATTAAAAAAAAAAAAAAAAAAAAATGAAATAAAGATATTATGTCCACCTACAACTCAAAAAATCGAACCCAGGACCTCGCATGTGCTAGACAAGCACTCTACTGCTGAGCTACAACCCCAGCCCCGGTGTTAAATCTTTAGAAGGAAAACTCAATAACAGCAACAGCTGCCAATTACTAAATACAACATATCTTAGATGCTATGCTAATCTGCCATATAATCTCATTTCCTCTTCATAGACCCTAGAATGATAGAAAATAGAAACTATTACCCAATTTTACAAATTAGAAAAAACCAAACAAATTTCTCAAGACTACATAGCTAATAAGTGAAAAAGTATTATGAAGAGAATGAATTAGATTTATAATTTGTAGACTTGTGGACAAATACCGTCATCCCCCGCTTGGCCCATAACCCTTTCATACACACACAGATAACCACAAGATGAGCAACCAATGGAAGTGCATGAAATACTCATTCTTAAAAAAAAATACAATTCTATACTCAGCCATAAAGAAAAATGAAATTATGGCATTTGTCAGTAAATGGAAGGAATTGAAGATTATCATGCTAAGTGAAATAAGCCAATCCCCCCAACCAAAGGCTGAATGTTCTCTCTGATAATATGGATGCTAACACACAATAAGGAGGGGAGTAGAGAAGAACAGAAGTTCTTTGGATTAGACAAAAAGGAATAAAGGGAAGGGAAGTGGGAGGGGAATAGGAAAAAGCAAAATGAATCAGACATATGTGAAAACACCACCAGTGAAACTCCATATCATGTACAACCACAAGAATGGGAAGTTATACTCCATATATGTATAACATGTCAAAATACATTCTACTGTCATATATAACTAAAAAAAAAAAAACAAATTTAAAAATTTTTAAAAGCAACAAAAACAAAACAAATCCTAGCAGCTAAGGTGTACATTTACTTCAAGGAAAACAGATCGTTCAACAGCAAAGGTTTAAAATTGCAAT